GGCTCCCCTCCATCTCCTTCAAATCTTAGGTGGTATTCTGGGTACACAGTATTTGGAAAACTATACCAGGAAGTTCTATTTAAAACAAAACAAAAGCAAAAGTTTTTATGTGGGGTTTAGACAGGATTGTTGGTTTTAAAAGCTTTTTCTCTTGTTAGAAAACTCTACCAGGCTATGATACCCCGCTCTGTTTCTCACTTCCGTGTCTGTTTAGCAGCTATGCATTTTTTTATTGTACAACAAAACAATTGCCTTCAAGTGTCCATATTCCATTAAGCATATGGAAAAGTATTCAGCCCTTTGTTTTCAGCTGAATAAATTTATTTGTCACTTAAGTATTAATTTAGACTAGTCATGGGACATTAGTGCTGGTTAATTGTCCCCATTTTTCTGGGGTTTATTTAACTGATGGAGGTTATTTCAGAAATGTGCAACTTCTTTAACTGTTACATTCATTGCTGAGTGCCCCTTGCAGAGGTTGCAGGCTCACATGCAGCAGCGGCGAGATGTTACCACATCTCCACCGCGCAAGATTTTGGGATTGCTGGTGCATGTCCACAGAGGGAGAGCAGGATGAGAAAAACTCGCCCCAAGGCCCTGTTTGTAGCAGCCCGCACTGGTTTTGCCAGTCTCTGAGGTTTTGCCTTCTCAGGAGCCCCAGTTCCTCAGAGACAAGGCTGCTCCTCCCCGATGGGACCACGAGGATTCTTTCTCAGCACTGCATCCAGCTGTGATGCATCGAAGGCAGCACACACACACACCTCCTGTGAGCAGTGCCATCAAAGACAAGCAACTGCCAAGCCCCAAGGGCACACACAGGAACACAATGGTCTGCCCCACTAAAACCACAGCTTGATGTCTTTTTGCCTTGGTTTTCAAAGGAAAACTGCCAGGTCCTTCCCCCAGACTTTGGGATGAGACTTCGGAGCTTCAGATGAGCTGTCGCTCCTTTCAGAAAAACCCAAGTGGCAGGAAAATTAAGCAGATCTCTTTTCCCCAGTGGAAGAACCATTAAGGAGCAACCAGGTCCTGGGAAACCACCAAAGTGTCCCACCAGCAGTATGTGTCATGTCTCAGATGCTGGTATCTCTCCTTTTGCTGATTGTGCTTCTCCACAGCCACATGTTACCACTGCCCCACAGTTCTGCTCTGCAGGCAGCTGGAGCCAGGTAAATAGTGCAAGGATTTCTACTCTCCAAGGGGAGTCATCCACTGCCCAAGTGGACCTACAGACCTGCTCTGTAAAGCCTTCAGCAGCTTGCATGCATCCAGCATCACCATGAGGCTCTGCAGCCCTTAGGTGGGATCAGGTAATGTCTCCCACACCTCAGTGTCTCCCTCTGTTAGAGAGCAGCGAAGGAAAAGCCTCTCCTGGGTGGGGAAGGAAATGAATCCAGGCTCACGTGCTTCGTCAGAAATGCAAATTGCTCTACAAGTCCTGGGCATTAATTATAGAGCCTGGGCTTCTTGCTGAGCCACAGGGAAAACAGGCCCCTGGTTCACGTTAAATTTAATGGCGTTTGGACACCCAATTCCCTTAGCCTATTTGAAAACCAGAATCCCACTTTCTAGAGAAATATATGTGGTCAGGTGAAATCCTTCATCCTACTGCAGATGGCAATGTTTTTACAGCACTGTTTTCAGCAAAGCCAGGAGCTCTCCCCCAGGTGCTGGGGTGTCTTCCTCATGCCATCATCCGTGGGATCCAGGAAGAAAGATGGGAGTGATATGGATAGCAGAGGTCTGGGCAGGGAGCTCTATGGACAGGCTGAGAAGTGCAGCTCTGGCACCATGGCTTCATCACACGGGCTGGTTCACAACACTAAGCTGAAAATTGTCCTGCTACAGGGTATGGGGCATGTTCCACTTGCCCTGGATGTGAGCTGGGCATGGGGACAGAGTTGCCTTCTCCCAGCGCTGCTTCATCTCTCTTCCACTGCCTCTAAAGAGCAGGATCTGATGGTTCTCTGCCAGAAGCAGACCTGTGAGGCTACAGCTGCCTCTTACCCTATTGTTGCAATGCCAATGCAATGGCTCAATGTGGGACTTAGGGTTTAGATAAGAAATAATGCAACTGGGAAAAAAGCAGGAAAAAATCAAACTTTTGGGGAGTTAGGAGCAGAGGATCCCTCTGGCTGAGTGAGTTGTTCCTGGTAGGCAGCTACTGGAAGCCATGTTATTTTGGGACGTGCTGTACCATGGGATGGTGTTTTGCTAGAATTGTAGGTGTGCAAAACTGATCCCTGCCTCAGAGGGCTCACAGGAGCCAGACCTGGATGACAGTATGGCTGTCATAGTCCACAGATGGAACAATGAGCAAGGATGGGCTTTAAGCAGAGCCACAAGGAGCAGCCTGCTCTCCAGCTCAGTCTTTGTGCACAGGGCCAACCTCATGTTCAAACACCAGCTGCATGCATTTTGGGGGAATTCTTGATCTTTTTCCCAGTGTTACCTCTTTGGACAGGGTGGGGTTTTCCTGTTCTGAGGGACTCCAGCATTTCTGCCCAATTTAGCACAGAGAAAATGAACAGCAAACCCTTCATATTGTTATACGCATTTTAGATGTCGGCCTCACAGTTTGATCAGCAGAGGCTCCGAAGGCTCGTAAACCTGGTAATACATAGTTCCAAGACTGCATCAAAGAAGTTCACAACCCTTTTGGGAGAAGCTGTGAGTACTGATGAAAGAGGGAACTTATTGTATATGTAAGAAAACTTCTTTCATGGCTTATGTATTAAGGCAGGCTCTGTGGCCCAGGGAAGATTGGGGCTGCTTTTAATTTACATCCCCCCTCACTTATATTAAGTCTTCGTCAGAAGAAAAATTAGTCAGATGTTTTCTTAATGACATCATTTTTTTTAATCCCGTTTCATTTTTTCCAGATGAGGCGGTGGAGATTATTAGAAATGAATTGAAACTAAATCTGGAACAGAGACTTTGATTCACTTCTCCCTCCTCCCTGGTAGAAATAAATTGGTCGGCTCCGTGCTCGGCCGCCTTTATTAGCAGCCTCGACAGAAACCAGCCCCGGCGGCCTCAGCTGCAGCTTTCCGAGCTTGCTGCCGCCACAGCTGACATCATGGCGAGAGGCACCAGAGAGTGACTTTGGTCACCCTATAATTTTGGTAGCAGAAGGCCATGGCAACACAGGTGGGGAGGTTACGAGGTCTGAAACAGCCATGCCATCATCAGTTTGTCTTTCAGTGTCATAAAAGAAAACAGGGTCGATGCTGGTGGGTTTTCCTCTAGCTAAACCCTGGCCTGGGTCCAATGAGTGCCTGTGTCAGTGGCTGTGCGTCTCGGCAAGTTCTTTATATCTGATAGGTTTTCGCTGCCTGGTATTTCACACTAGCGAGCCACAAGAGTATATTGCTACAGGAAAGTACTTTGAACTATAAATATTTCAGAAGGCATTTAATTTACTACCCATCAGCAGAAAGTGTTCAAAAAGCCACAAGGTTTACTAATTTATCAGAAAGACAGAGAAACACACGGAAGATCAAACAAAGGCAAACATGCTCATTAAACTGCTGAATAAGTCTGCAAAGCCTGTATTACATTTCTGTGTGGTTTTGTTGATATGCAAGAATTACAAATAAATTAAAATGCACCTGAACTGTTGATAAGGCAGGGTGGGACTGTGATCCTGAGGTGCAGGAGGCATGTCTAAACAGCTCAGATCATCGTGTTTGTGGTTGTCTGTGCATGGAGAGACAGATCTTACATGCATAATATAATATGCATACAATGACATATTTGGATAGTCTTAGGGAAGGACCTTTCTAATAACCTCCCTTAGATCAGCCCATGTTCCAGATCCCTGACCTCCGAATCCCTGTTGTCTCCCGTGCTTAGGGTGCAGCCTTTGGGGTGCACATCCATCTCTCTCTGCTTTGCTAGAGCACCCAGCCAGGGACAAATCCCGTCCCTGCTGTGACCTGTGTGTCAACAACAGCTCTGCTTCCAGCAGTCTGTGAGTACAGAGAGAGCTAATACAAAGCAGATTTTGCTCTTTTGTTTTGCCTAATGACAGCTCTGCCTCTTTTGGTGTCTAGCTCAGATTTTCTGCTTCTCCAGTCAGGGCAAGTAACTTTTTCTCCTGTCCTTGCACCCTCTGCAGTTTGTCTAAGAGGCTGGAAGGTACAGTATAACACGTGGCTGGGAGAAGTCCGCTGACTTTCTTTTCCATCCTGGTTCACCCTTCAAAAAACTGCTTAAGCACTGAAACATGCATATGACTTTTTTTTGTTACCTGCTGAATCCCTCAGCATGCAGGGATCTTCTTTCTCAGGTAGCGCTTGGCCCAAGGAAGATCTGAGAGATTTAAGAGAGTTGGCCCCCAGAAAGCATGCAGTAAAACCTCTCATGAACTTTTGCCCTCTGAACCTTACCGCCAGCCTGTCAAGGAGGTTTGTACTAGCCGTGATGGACGCAGGAGGGGAGGGCTGCTTTGCTGGCACTGGCCAAGCTGCACGTGCTGGGCCGAGCAAAGCACAGCTCAAGATCACATAAATTCTCCTTGCGCCATTTGCATCCTTGCACAGGCAGCCCTGTTCGGGGCTTTGTCTGCACATGGCAGCACTAAACAGCTGGATACCCAGGGGCAGTGGGTAGCTTGCAAACCCCCAGTTTGCCTCGAATATCTTTGTGTAGCCAGCATCCCCATGCAAGGAGAGGGGTGGGACCTCTAGCATGGGGTGTGTTCCATGCTGCCTGTGTGTGCAGGCACTGCCTGAAGCAGCTCGTGCTCGTTTTCACAGCAGCCCATTTGGGGTGAGCCACCTTGCGTACATATATGTTTAGTGCAATACAGGTGCTTGTCTGTGGGAAACTTGGGGACTTCAGGCTCTGTGTATGCCAAGAGGGGATGTTCTTCCCACTATGTGCTTGAACTCCTCTCTCGTGGGCAAAGGCAGTGGGGCAGGACAGAGAAGGGTGGCAGGCGGCTACGCCCGCCCCGAGTGGCTGTGAGTGACAGCGTGTCTCTGTTTTCTTCCCAGGCCTCCTCCTTTGAGCGGCAGTCCCGTCATCTCCGACATCTCCCTCATCCGCCTGTCTCCACACCCAGCAGGGCCTGGCGAGTCGCCCTTCAGCCCGCCACACCCGTACGTGGCACCCCACATGGAGCATTACCTCCGCTCTGTCCACGGCAGCCCCACGCTCTCCGTCATCTCTGCTGCCAGGGGCCTCAGCCCCGCCGATGGTAAGACACTGTGCTACTGGTACTGCAGAGATTTTGTAGCTCATCAGTACTGAAATTCCCTAAAACTGGGGGATTTGCAGCTGCTCTCTGAAGTGGGAGAGCTGTCTCTTTTTCTTTTTGTTTTTTTTTCCCCTTTAACTACACATTTGTTTTGCATCATCGCACTGAGAAAGCAGAGCGTGAGAATAGCTATTACTGCTGGATCATATTATAAATATTTTGCTTAAAGTACGTTCCTTTCTGCAGCACTCTTGTCTCTCTTATGAGCGTCCCTGATCTTACATCTTTACTGGGAGCCCTGCTTCCCCCAAAGAGGGTCACAGTTGCTCTGGCTGCCTGGTCTGTCTGGGACTGACATTGCAGAGGAGGCAACGCCAGCTGGGTTATCCCCTATGGGCTTTATATCTGTGATCAGGGTGGCTCTAGAGTGAAGGAGAAGGGCCATACTTTTTTCTTCTTACTCTGAAGCTGCCCTGCAGCTTTTGGGGAAGGCAGGGGTGTGTGGGGAGCTGGCACTGGGTGCAGGCAGAGGTGATCATGCTCTCTGAGCCCCATCAGACTTCATGATGGGGAGCTGGTGACAAAAATGTCCAGGCCAGGAAAGGGGAAAATGTGCAACACTCCTTGCACTTGGCAAGGTATAAGTCATGCCCTGCTTCATCAGGAGAGCTTCATTACATGGTTGCAGGTGCCTGGCTTAGTGCCTAGGGAGCAGCTGAGGTTTGGGGACTTGGTCTCTGTGCACCCAGCAAACCCCAACATCTCCTGGCTCCTGAGCTGCTGCAGGGGCAGGCAGCCCTTTGCTGCTGCAAAGCAAAGTGCACCAGAGAGCAACAAGGCCCCTGGATTAGTGCCTGGCAGCATAAAACCATCTTCTGTGGCTAAAAAAACATCTCTAGAGTGATGGGGACATGCATGTGTCTTCTTCCCTCCCCTAAAACGTCATCCGAACTCTCAGCCTCCCGCCCCAGAGAGGTCTGATGGCTGGTGTGCATGTGCTCTGCCTCGTCCTCTCCTTCCAAAGCCAGTTTCATTGTTTGCTGTGGAATAAAGGCATTGTGTTTGGGGTTGCTTTTCTTTTCCTTTTTTTTTTTTTGTTTAAGGCGGTGGTAAATAAGTTAATGGAGCAAGCGGGTGGGGAGGCAGGTTTGAAAAATTACAGCTGGGAGAAAGTGAGTGTAATTGGCTTTGGCAGCCAAAATGGTTTTATGCTGCCAGACACTAAACCTAGTTCTATGCATTAGACCTTGGCTTTAATTTCCTCACGCTGCTATCGGGAACTGGGCTGCATTTGTCTTTCCTTTCTAATAGGCAGGGATGTTAATGCTGACAGGGTTACTGCTGCCGGCAAGCTGGGCCCTCTCCCCCCTCCCAGGGGTGCTGGCTGCGTCCGAACGGGAGGATTATTAGAAGGGGGAACGAGAGATTGTTTATAAATTTGCGGAAATAGAGGAATGCAGAGGCCCCAGCTTAGTCTCTTTTGTCCGCAGAAGCACGCCCAAGCACACGTCACGAGAGCCCTACACAGAGCTGTGTGGCTGGGGCTGGCGGGGGGCACGGGGGGAGACAGGGCCTCCAACGTCAGCACCAAGGTCTAACATAGCAGTGGGAACCTTCTCCCCATGTTTTTCTCCTCGCCTGCGGCTCCAACAGTGGCTCATGAGCACCTGAAGGAACGAGGTCTCTTCGGGCTGCCCCCACCACCACCGGGAGCCAACCCCGCCGACTACTACCACCAAATGACGCTGATGGCCGGCCACCCAAACCCCTACGGGGACCTCCTCATGCAGGGCGGAGGAGCAGCCAGCACAGCACACCTCCACGATTACCTCAGCCCCGTTGATGGTGAGTAGCAGTTTGGGTCCTCCCTGGCATGACTGAAATTTTGGGATAGATGGATGGGGCTGCCCTCCGGGTGGAGGTTGCTATATGTGGTCACTCTGCCCTGCTGAAACCCATGGGTGCTGCACTATAATTTTGTGCTTGAAAGGTCACCTGTTTCCAAAATATACATAATTTAAAATACATACATCATGGTCTCTTACAGACAGTGGCATGTTTGCTGCATGACTGCTGGTCCAGTGAGGAGGGCATTGCTGGTGTCCTGCTGCATTGACCATGGGTGACCCTTGGGGGCAAGCTCCAGCTCCAGCTCCCCATCCCACCCAATGTTTAGCCTGGTTGGTGTCTGGGGAAAAGGAGGGCCATTTCCATGCATAGCCATGCTAGGCGCAGTGGACCTGTCACCTTTGTCGGGACCTCCCAGGTCCCCAGGGAGAAGAGATATGTTAACAGGGAACCGTGGTGGAGAGAATATGTTAGTACTTTGTGGGAGGAAAAAATGCGGGAATGTGGTATTTGTGCTAGTATTGAGTGTTATAAACCCAGAAAGCTCTTGCTCCTGGCTAAATGAAGAAGAAATAGAATCATGTTAGGCACTGTGGTGCTGAGTCACCCCTGTGGCCTGACTGCTGCCCTGGTGAGATGCGTAAAATCTATCTGGAAGCTTATCTGAGGTTCAAATGATTTTCAGAGCTGTTAGAAATGTCTTTACTTTCACTTTATGCTGCATCTTGTGAGAAGTGGGATTGTACAGATACTACAGAGGGCAGTTTGGGGATTATTTCTGCTGCAAGAAAGAGAAGTCTCAGCTCGACTTTCAGATCCAGCTTCTGTTTCCTGGGATGCCTTTGGATTTGCCTGTGGACCATTATAAATTTGGAGTGGAGATCTGCATCGTTTCATTACCGCTTCAAAGTTTCTGTTGTTGAGCTTTTAAGATGAAAGACTTTGTGGTCTTGCTGCTTCATAAAGTGACTGGTTTAGAATGATAAAAGCTGTTCTGGCTGTTCAGTGATGGGGGCTTACAGATATTTCTAATGAAAAAACAGTTTCTTGTCTGCAGCTGCTGTGGAAGTTTTACCTGAACAGTCATTTTCTGCTGCCAATTCTTAGATTAATCGGCAATTTGAATCCCACTCTGAAAGGGAGGACATGTGCTCCTTGGTACCATCCTGCCCTCTAACACCCACAGTATATCCTGGGCTTCTCTGCTACAAAGCAGCTGGTCAGTAAAACTGCTCTGTCTTCCTTCCAAAGGGTTAATGCCTGTGGTTATAGCAGATGGGTGCAAACCAGCCCTGCCAAGTTCTCCTCGGGCTTATGAAGAAGACTCCTTCCTCCTTCCCTCCTTATTAGTCCATCTCTGACCAGCAGTGCCTCACTGAGGTGCCAGATAAACAACCAGGAAGGAAAGCAATCACAACTGTTTTTGTGGTAACGTAGGCTGGCTCTCAGCGCAGCAAGATGTTTCATCCTCTGGTTTGCTGAAGATCAGTCTTTATCTGAGGTACTGAGGTGCTCCCCTTGGCAGAAGACTCTCATACTGTTTGCCTTCTCCTGAAAACAACTCTAGAGTGAATCATGTATCAAAGATTCTCAGTTTCATGCAGCCGAGCTCATAACTGTGATTCACTGCAGAGCCAGGACTCACCAAGCATTTATGATGATCCTTCGGTAAAGCTTTGCTGATGAGTAACTGGAAAGCATTTTCTGGGCCTCCACATGTTCTGCTTGAGATGAAAACTTTCAAACACTGTGAGAATGTGACACGAGACACCAGAAGGCTACTTTTTAAGAATGCGTAAAAGAGCAGCAGCCCAGTGCCAGTCTCTGGTCTACATGTTTGGGTTTATCCATCAGCCGGAGAAAAGAGAGAACTGTGCATTATTAAGACAGAAAGTAAAATGGATGGCTCTGAAATGCTGGCTGAGGAACCAGCATCTCCTTCTCTTTTTAGAAAGTTATTTAAAAAATTTAAATCAGCAGGGCCTAAGTAAATAGTTGAACAGATAATTTAATAAAGCAGCCTCTTATGGTATTTTTCTGAGACAGGAATATCAGTAGCATGCATAAAACCCCAGTGAGTCACCACCTCACTGAGTCTGTCATTCAGAGAGCCCTTTTCTTCTCAGGGAGCCCCAGAACACTGAAACCTTATAAGAATTCATTTGCAGCATTGTCACACACCTGTGATAACACTGGCACCTGTGAAAGAAAAAGCAGCAGATAAGCATATATTAAACCTGGCCTATTCAGTGTCACATCACCTCCAAACATCTGCAGGTCCGTGGGAGGCCTAGACACTGGGTATGGTAGTTCTTCCACAGACACAGTCTTTCCGGTTGCTGTAGTTTTGTTTCTTGGAGGATTTCTCAATGCCTTCATGGTGTTTATGTTGTGTTTTTCATCCCATCACGTCTAGGGTCAAGAAAAGTAATAGGATATAAATGTCATCTGGAGCTTGTTGGTGCCAACCCTGTGCCACGTCTTCTGAGTGTTCAAATGCTGACTGAGCTAGAGTACCCAGAGCTGCATCTTTTGCAGGGTTTTCAGTGTGCAGCTAGAAGTAATTACACCCCTAAAGTAGACCAGAGTTAAGTTTTACACACCAGACTGCTAGGGTATTGAGGCCAGTGGAGACTAAACAACCCTTCAGTTATTTCTCCCATTTCATTTCCTTACCCAAAGGGGACTCAAAATCCAAGAGTGGAGTTTGAATCCAAGCTTAAACCTGTTTTTGGAAAGCCTACACTTTAAAATCAAAAGTTAATCACTTTCCAATGTCACAGCTTTGCTGATGGGGTAAGTTTGAGACAAACTTACAGATTCTGTTCACCAGATCAAAACAGTCTTTTGCATTTCTATTCTAGAAGTGCTGCTACATGGTGGATTATTCCAGGTGATGGAGTGATTGCACAAGAGCATCCCTGAGGCAGTAAAGACTGGTGGGGAGCACAGATAACCCTGGAGATGACTACTACTTTCTAATCATGTTTAGTACATCCAGCTGTTTTTTGCCCCTAAGCAGGGGGGTTCCTGTGATTACCCTCTGCCCTTCTGGAGGTGCCATTTTCTCTCAAGAGGATTCTATCCAGAGTGACTCTGTGCTGGTACTGTTATAGCCCTGTACCTCAAAAGATTTCAAAGTGCTGTACAAAGCAAAGCCATTGCATCACTGGAGACCCCAAAGAGAAAGAAGATCAAATGATCAGTGAGCATAACGGTGGAAGCTTTAAGAAAAAGATCCAGATCTTTGGAATAAGACTCTATGGCCAGGGTGGGAAGTAGAGATCATCTTTAAATCCATCACTTTGCACAGCGTTCAAAGTGTGATTGGGTTGTCCATGCTGAATCAGGGAATGCGGAACAAAAATCTTGAGTCCAACTTAGATCCAGGTGGTGCTACACAGAGGTAGTCTCTCCAGGTCAGGAAGGCTGCGTAGATGTGTTTCTGCAACCTTACAGTTAGCAATAGCAGGGATGACCCTGCAGTGCTGTCACTGAATTCTGTCCAGTTCCTGGAGCTAGAGGGAGGATCCCTGCCCTGTTTCTCACTGCCTGGTGCCAGGCAGTCACAAATGTCTTGATTCACAACCAGCTGTAACTGTAACTGTAACTGGGAAAAGGCTTTGTTCAGCACAGCACAGCCAGCAGGCCAGCAGTTGGCACAGTTGCCTGGGATGTGGGCAAATCATCAAGCAGGACTTTATTTCCCCAAATCAAACAGTGATTCAGCTTCATCAGCCTCTTTCAGTCAGTGTTGTTGGAGCCTTTCTACTTGAAGGCAATGATTTAGTAGTCAGCAGGGTAAGAAGCAGGTCTGGCAGTGCAGCCCGGTGTTGACTGCAGTCAGTGGGCCCATGTCCGTGAGAGGTGAGCTCAGGACTCTCTTTGGCAGGTCCATGTGAAGCAACTGCTCCATCAGGACGAATGGAGAGAGCCCAGCTTCATGGCGACCTAGGAAGGAAGTGCCTTGCCTGAGGCTGGAGGGACCAGCAGCTCTGGGTTTGCAGGATGGATGTGCCAGACTGCAGATGACTTCCCAAACAAACCAGCTGTTGGCTACTCTGGGCAGACGGCACGCCCTGTAGTCACTTCCTTAAAAAACTCTCAAAGACCTATTTTTTTGTTGTTTTCTTTGTCCCAGCATAGAATGGAAACTTGCTGAAATCTCAGAAAAGGTTCAGAGAATGGGAAACAATTTCCCACCCATTTCTAGCCAGCAATGCTATTTTTCTCCCCAGAAAAATATGTACAGAAGAGAGAAGAAGTCCCAGAGCATCCCATAAGTGCTGTGTCTGGAATCCTGCTGCACTCTGGTTTCTAAAGAATTCAATTTACATATGCAAGTTGGGTCGACTAAACAGTTACCTTGTGGATTGGGAGTAGAAGAATGCAGCCTTGTCTTTCAGCGAGGATTTGAGGGAAGCATTAGTATTCCTTGAACTGCAAAGTTGATCGGCCTGGGGAGGAAAGAAAGAAGGGTCCCAGGACAGCATCTGGTGCCAGAACAAATGTCCAGCATCTGCTGCAGTCTGAAAAAGAGGTGTGTTGCCTCTGCAGAAAGAGAGAGGGGAATAAGGAACTGGTTACGCAGAGTGTTTGTAGTTTATTGCTGCTGCTTATTGATTAAGGGACCATTCTGTGTTTTTATAGTGCTCTTGGATTTAATTTGATGATGGGAGGGGGGTATATTTCTGTACACTTAGGATGGAGTTTTGTTGGTCAGTGGTCAGGAAGAGGGACAATTTTGATAACACTGTATTTATCCTGGAACTGGGCCAGGGGAGGCAGGGGGAGCAGTGGCTCTGGCTGGGTTTCTGTGGGGTGCAGGGTGATGGTGAGCCATCTGCAGCCCATGTGCCTTACAGACTCATCCCTTTGGGATCAAACTCCCCCGATGACCCTCTGCAGTTGAGATCACAGCAACATGCTTGTCTGTAAAGACTTGCCAGAGATTTCCGTACCCTGAAGGAGCCTTGAAGGAGCTCCCACTGAGTGCC